CAATGATTCTTCGAGTTTGACATTCTTCTTCTTCTTATTCTTCCTGAAGGTACGAATTAAGTTTTCACAAATTGGAAGAAAATGCTATGGAAATTGAAAGAAATTTCTTTGAAGGGTTTTTGTATATTTTTTTGTTTGGGCAGGGATGTGCCGAAAAATTTCGAGGAGCCGTTTTTCTTCCATTTTGTTTTCTTGGATTTGGAATAGAAATGAAATTCATGTTCAGATATGGGTTTGGTTGATGGTTTTTGCCGGAAAAAATCATGGTGAAAAAGTGGAGGACTAGTTGAAGAAGATGGCCTAATTGAAAATATAAAGGACTCAATTGAAAATCTTAAAAACTTCATTTTGGTACTTATAAAGTTTCTGGTTGCATTTTGGTATTTCGTGTCAAAAAACGAACCCCCACTCTCATCCATGGCGAGTGAAGTGCACGGTGAGCTCTTAAGGGCCTTATTGCCTTTGACTAATTTTTATAGGGGGGTATTTGCTAATTGTTTTAACACGAGGTCGTTTTCAGCAATTCGAGATTACACAGGGGTGGTTTTTGCAAAAAACCCATCATTAATTGAAGGGGATTGTCTTATTAAAATTAAATAAGGTGGTTAGTCCTAATATTTTTCTTATCGAGAGGTTTATATCTCGTTAACCCTATATTTTTATTGTACGAAATTTCCAATAGCCTCCTCCATTAAAAGTCTAGATTCTCTACGACTTTTGACTCACTTGTTCGAACTAGAGGGCCGCACGCAATATGTGGTCATGTATACATACACATACATATATATGATTCAAGATCTGAACGACTCATCAAAATTCGTAGCTCATGATATATAGTTGACAAAATTAAACTAATAACATAGTGGCATTTAATTTAAAAAGGGAATTGCCTCCTCCTAGGTTTAAGCTACGAATATTTAACACAACTTCAACTATATCATTATGAGATGAATATACAACAAATAATATTTTTAATGCTTAATTAAATAATAGTATAACTTTGCGTAAGGTATCAATATTTTAAAAAAATCAAAATTTCCGTTGATTCAAGTATTTTACAACTTCGAGTAAATAAATTGAGCCATTTTATCTTGACAATATATTTGGGAAATAAAATATAAAAAAGAATTAAGTTGATGACGAAATTCAATATTTTGACCAAAAGAAAAAGGAAATAGCTAATCTGAGACTTAGATTTTAATTTTAAGGTGGGAATGAAAATATAAAATTAAATGTAAAGTGGTCCCCTCCCTCAATAATGGGATTCAGGTATATGGTATTGGAGTTTATAGCATATTCGTATCGTGAAGCACCAAGCAACATGGATTTATGGATATTCTTTAAATGATTCTTCTTCAACATCTATGTCCAAATTACCAAAGAACCCCCCTTCAATAGAAGCCCGATCTCGGCCCGATTTTACCTTATTGACTGTAATTTTGTTCGTGCAATAAAACTATTTAACATGGTTAAAATTGTACCTGTAAAATATACAAATCCTTGTTTATCGAGTACATTGTTGTATGTTTATGCCTCCTTTGGTTAGGAAGATTTAACTAAATAATTGGGCTATATTTGATGTTTGGTATTCCAAATAAGTTGTTGAGTCGATCCGCAAATATTATCTTATCATGGCTTATCGTGCCTTTTAGGTATGTTTTTGTTTGAATATTCCAAGGTCCAACAATACAATCGAGTTTCATTATATTATTTAATCTTACATTGACAACCAAACGATGCCTTAATTTTTAATTTAGTATCAAATACTTTATTGTATAAGTAGTGGGACCCAAATAAAAAATTAGCATCAGATCAAATAAATATCAATGTCAATCAAATAAAAAAATCACATAATTTTATGAATATACAGTTTTACCAAGTAATTACAAAATTAATTTGGGCACAAACAATTCCAATAGTGTGGTGGTAGTTTCGTCATTTGAACGCAATGGGGTGGACATGTTTGACTATAAAATTCCCACTTGGCCATCATGTAAGCAACAAAGAAAAAAATAATTGTCAATTTGAATAAACAAAAGCAAAAGCCTAAAACATTAAACACAAATTATGTATACGTGTCAGCATATTAATAAGACTATATGGTAATTAATCCCATTCATCTAATCCAAACCCCCTTCCAAATTAGAAACTTTTTTCTCCCCAAATTTCCATTTAATCTGAGTGTGTGGGGGGAAAAGGAAAAATAGAAGTTAAAAGAACATGCAAGAATACATATAGGATTTGTCGATTTCTGACATATATTTAATTAATGTCGACGGAGAAGCTAATTTCCGGCGGTGTGATTTCATCATCTCACTGGCTGGGCTACGGTGGGGATGCGGCGGCGGCGGCGGGGGTCAGGATTTTCGAGGAGTTGCCGACGGCTACAATCGTGGCGGTTTCACGGCCGGATGCGAGTGACATCACTCCCTTGCTTTTGTCATATACCATTGAACTTCAGTACAGACAGGTACCGTCAATTTCGCTTACCACGTGATTACCACGTGACTTAATGTGTGTCTGTGTATGTATGTATGTATATGTTCCGTTACAATTTTATTGTTACCGCATGTGCATACATGATACATGCATCATCGATATGTGTGCAGAATTAAAAATATTGATTCATATGCACCGTGCGTGAATGCGCCACTAAAAGCGATCCTGGATTTGAATTTTTTTTTTTTAATTATTATATTGAAGGTGATAAAATAATAATTTTGTTGCGAGTTTGAGTAATGCACTAATATGCCTCATATTGGTTGGCTGTAACATAATATTGGTGGCCGATCCACAATATGGGTTAGGTACAATTTATCTCAATTAATTCTTTTTACGTTATATATGATCAATGATGAGTTTATTGGATTTATTAATTGCTTAAAAAACTCATCTAAAATATGGGGCTATTAGAAAATAAGTTCATAGTCTACAACTTATTCCAAATTGGTTTTTTACGAAATGGGATTTTTGTGCATAAGTCCTGACCAACCAACCTATCTTTATTATTCTAGGTTTAGGGGCAATGTCTATTTCGCCAATAAGCTCATCCATTTAATATTTATTATAAATAAAAGAAGAATTCATGTATATGACAAAGGACTACAATTTTCGTGTTTCGAATTTTGCCAAAATCAAAATAGAAATATAGAAATATGTCAAAATCAGGTTCGATGTCAAAACGACATTAGTAAAATTGAAACGACATTTAACATTTCAGAATTCTTAATTGTAACCGCAATTTAATCAATTTTGACCACAAAAATTCAATTTTCACTTCTTCTTTTTTTAACTTTTTTTTCAAAAATTATTTTTTTGCCGCCGGTTTCCGGCGATGACTTTCGATTTTTTTTTTCCTCTGGCCTGTTTTTTCCGCCGCCGGATTCGGGCGTTGATTTTATTTTTCTAGTCTGTTTTTTCCGCCGCCGATTTCCAGCGTTGATTTTTTAGTGATTTTTTTTTTGTTCTCATAAAAATTTTATCCCCTTTTTACTCCCGCCGCTAAACATTGTACTATCTTTAACATTAATTATACTGTCACTGACAATACATTAACGTAATTCTATTGTCCTTGACAGTACATTAACATAATTAACGTAATTGTACTTGTGTAATTGTGTAATTGTACTTGTACTGTCAACGACAGTACAACTAGAGTCAACGACAATATTATTATTACTATTATTATTATTATTTTTTTTTTATTATTATTTTTTTATATTTTATTTGTTGACAACTTGGCGTAATTATACTACTGTCGTTGACAGTAAAATAACTATAAACACAATAATATTATTAATATTATTGTCAACCACATCAATATTATTATTATTTTCGATTTTTTGTTGTGTTTGAGTTATTGACGGAGTAACGTAATATTACTGTAAACAGAATAATAGTACTAACACAATAATTGTGTTGTGGTTGACGGTAATATTACTGTTGTTATAATATAACTGTCAACCACAGTAATATTAATTCTTTTGGCCTTTTATTATGTTTACCTTTGTTGAACGGTCAACATATTAATATTACTCTATTACACAATAATAATGATTTCTGTTGTGCTAATATTACTTTGCTAGAGATTAATATAACAATATTAATGTGTTAAATTATAGTGTAGTTAAGTTTACTGTGTTTAAAAGTAATATTGTTAATATTAATGTCAACCACAGCGATATTGCTGGTTAAATGGGGGGCAAAAAGATGTTAAGTACCACACGTCACATTTTAATACACTTCAATTTAACCCCAATTTGACATCACCAATTATTTATTTTTGATCCATAACCATAACAAAGAGATATAAAGAATAGAAGAGTCAATTTTTGTTTACGTACATAACACCTACCTCGTGAGGTTATGTATAATTAAACTATTACAACTAAACCTCGTTAGTTGTGTAAACATGAAACTAATAAATACCTCCCATGAGGTCTTATTTTTGCTAAAACTTAATCCCAACCAACCATTGGCTTTTTCATGTTGACCCAATATTGAGAAAGGTTATCCCTAAAAAAAAATATTGACGAAGGTTAGGTTTAATTACGTATAGCCCCTCGTATTCCAAAAATATTTCAAAGACCTCATTTAATGTGAGTTTTAACTGAAATCAATTTTCAACTCATTAAATATTAATTTAATTCTTAATAAATTTTTTATTTTTATTTTTTTATAAGTATAAGAAAATTAACAATGTTGGAACTAGTTTTATTCTTTATACTATGTAAAACATTAAAATGACAATTTTCAACACATTGTAGTCTCCTTCATCCATACCTTCGTGGATTTCTACCTCTCTACATTTACGTTTTTTATTTTTTATTTTAATTAATTTTTGTTTTTTATTTTTTTTATTTTTTATTTTTTATTTTATTTTATTATTATTTTTATTATTATTTTTATTATTATTATTATTATTATTATTATTTTTTTTCATTTTCTTTTTTCAATTTTAATTTTGCTGCAAGGTATATTAATCGACTACGGTATTAATGAACTAAGTCGATTAAGGAACTGACTACTAAAATCCTTGTTGAATAAGGCCTCGTTTGCTTACCTATATCGGATTACATTGGATTAGGTGAGATTTGATTAGTATCTCACTGACTAATTAATTATTTAGTCAGTAAGATGTTTGATAGTAAGATGTTTGATTCGTTAGATTAAATCTTGTATTAAATTTGTTAAATTCTGGTATTTAATGTGAATTGTCCAAAAAATATTTTAATTAAAAAATTAAGATATTGTTTTAAGAATAAAATTGTATTTTCCTCTTTTAATCACCTCTATAAAATTAATCGCAGGGGGAGGGGTGCTACTAATTTAACCAAATAATAGCACTTAATTGCGGGCTTTGAGTATAGTAGCGGACTTGACTAAATACGAATCTCATCAACCAAACATCTTACTAACCCCTACTATTTAGTTAATAGAGGTTAATAGCACAGAGCAAACGAGGCCTAATGAAATTGACTACTTATATGACGTCAATGAATCCAAACAGCCGCAAAAAATAACAAAAACAACTACACAAATCCAAAAATGAATTAAAAACTGTAGTCGATTAACCGTAATCGACTACTATAACATAGTCGATTAAGGATCCAACCTCCACGAACTTCCTCCGCCCGCGCCGATCTACCCAAAAAAACCCTAGATCTGCTCCCATCGTCACCACACCATCCCCATCTCGACCTTCGCCTTGCGATGTCCTCGACGCAATCTAGCCAAAGATGCTAGATCTGCCGCCGTCAAGTTCGAGTGCTTTCGCCGCCGTCGCTTCCAGCTACCGTCTGTTCCTCCTCCGTCGCTGCCATCACAAAACCACCCTTCAACGGTAAACACACGGACACAATACAATGCACCCATTTCTCGACTCGCGACCAACCAACTCTATCCTACAGGGCTATTCAACCAGATGTCGCCGTCGGCTGGGTTGCAATTTGGGTATGTCGCTGTACCACCGCGCCAATAGAAGAGCAAAAAAATGGAGGAGATAGAAGACGGGAAGAAAGAGAATACATAAAGAGGGAAAAAAATAATAGGATTAGGGTTTAGAAGGGTATATTGGGCAATTTAAATGTTAAATGTGTGAGAAATGTTATATCTAAGGCAAAGGGGTTTTCTCAAATTATTTATTTGAGAGAATCTACCTTACATGACTTTTACAAATGAAGGGGTCTTACTAATTTTCCCAAGTTTTTAACATTTGACTAGAAAATGCAAGCGGGTACTTGGTACATCGCCCATAGAACTTATCCAATAAACAAACATCACTTTATTTTTCAAATTCTTCTTCCAAAATATTTTCTCCAATACATGATTTGGATGCGCTAGTGTTTTTGGTGTCGTCCCAAAATATAAACAAAATTAATTTTGTTCTCACAAAACCTTTCCTCAAAATGAAATGAAAATAAGACCCAATCAAATACTTCCGGACATTAGATTGGTGGTAGACCGAAGATGCTATAGAGAATATTGATCAATCGTCATAATCTAAAAGATTGTTCTTATTTTCCATCTTAATGTCACGTTTAATTACTACTCATGTTATAATCATTTTCTTACAAAATTCACCGTTAAATAGGATGAAATGTTAGTTGAGAATAAACTTGAATCAAACTTAGAGGGTCTACATTAACTAAAGCCTAACATCGGTGTAGTTTCACCTATAACATGGTGTAATAGAAATAAAGGACTTCTGACGTGATTTCTAGGATCCGAATTCAATTACATATAACGCATGTTTTACTTTGACAGTTCAAATGGCAATTGTTGAAGAAGGCTTCTCAAGTTATTTATTTGCACATTGCGCTGAAGAAGCGTGCAATTATTGAAGATTTTCATGAGAAACAAGAGCAGGTTCTCGTTCTCCCCGTTTTTTTAAAACATTTAGAGATGCCGCTTCACCGCATGAATCTTTTCATCTAATTTGTTATTTTGTCGGGAATAAAAAAAAAAAAGGTAAAGGAATGGCTACAAAACATAGGATTAGGAGATAATTCAACAGTTATGCATGATGAGGATGAGCCTGATGATGGAGCTGTGCCGATAATATACAATGACGACACTTTTAGAAAGAGGTGACCGTAATTTCATTTTCTAATTATTACATTTCGACTTTCGCAAACTTTAATTTTTTTTAATTTCCCGTTTATTTAAATACAGGTCAGTTCCATCAAGAGCTGCTCTCTCGGTCATTCGTCCAGCTATTGGCAAGCAACAGGCTATTTCAGACAAAGCAAAAGCTGCCATGCAAGGTTACCTCGATCATTTTTTGGGGAATTTGGACATCATTAATTCTAGAGAGGTGAAAATTGAACTGAAAAAAAAAATAATCTGCTTATGTATGTATGTATTTTCTTAATTGTTTTGTTGATAATTATTACAACAGGTATGTAAGTTCCTAGAGGTGTCCAAGTTATCGTTTTCACAAGAGTATGGTCCTTATAAGCTGAAAGAAGGTTATATGATGGTTAAGCACTTGGGATTGTTTTCAAAGGATAACAACAGATGTTCGACGTGTTCTCCATTTTTTAATTGCTTCAGTTTTTGTCGCAACAATTGGCAAAAAGTAAGTCTTAATATATTTCTGCTAAAAATAAAATAAAATACAGTGAGATCGCGTATACTTAATTTCTTAGTTTTTAGATGCTTTTTTCTCATCTTAATATTCTATGCTAACTCAAGTGTTCCGGCTTTTTTTTTTTTCGAATTGTTTACAACTCAATCCGTGCCATTGAATTGTTTGACTTGCATTAATCCAAAAGTCAACAAAACTATAATTTTATTTGCCGCTTAGTAGAAATATTTATTCGTTGGTATTTTCTTGGAATTTGAGTTATGCGTTCTATAAATTTGAAATATTTAGTACTTAAGTTGGCTGTTTCATTTTTACTTGAATAAATTGAATAATTTAGGTATGGGTGGTCCTGAAACCGGGTTTCTTGGCTTTCCTTGAGAATCATTTTGACACAAAATTACTAGACATAATCGTGTTTGATGTTCTTCCGCCTGCTTCAAATGCTAAAGGAGACGACGAACTCTGTTTGGCCAAAGTTTTAAAACAAGGAAATCCTTTGCGCCATGCATTTCAGGTCAGCTTTAATTCAGTTCAAAATATTACTTAACTGGTGATTTTATTTTGTATGAAAGAAATTACTAACATATAACATATATATATGATCTCCCTACGTTGAAAAAGGTTTGTTGTGGGAACAGAAATATAAAGATAAGGGGAAGTAGCCACGCTAAAGTTGAAGACTGGGTTTCTGAAATTAATGCCAAAATCGGGTCAAAGCGTTGGGAGAGTTGGTGTCATCCTCATCGTTTTAATTCATTTGCACCTATTAGAGGACTTTCTGATGATGGAAGCCAAGCTCAATGGTTTATAGATGGGGATGCGGCATTTGAAGCTATTGCTTCTTCGATCGAAAATGCCAAATCAGAGGTAATCAATAATTATGTTTTCAATATATAATATGTATCGAGATAATTAGTAAGCACCTTGCACGTAGAACCTATTTGGTAATGTGTTCGTGACACCAAGAGGGGAATTGGAGAACCAGTAACTATCATCCTTCCTTTTTACATATATTATATATAAAAGTATAATAATATATGTGGCAATAATGAAATTTTGTATTTATTTATTCAAATGTCTAATTTATAAACAAGCTGGAATTGAAATGTATCTTCAGATATACATGACTGGGTGGTGGCTTTGCCCTGAATTGTACTTAAGACGCCCATTTCACGATCATATTTCCTCGCGCCTTGATTTTTTACTTGAGGCTAAAGCTAAGGAAGGGGTCCAGGTACAACTTTCGTGTTTAGACCCATATATTAATTTTTTGTTTTGTTTACTATTCATCAGGTATTCAGGCTGTGTTTGATAAAATTAAGCACTGAATATATACTAATAAAATCATAACAAAAAATGTGGAGTCGAAAACAACATAACTTTTTTTCTTTACTATAAAACAATTTAATTAAAATCAAAGATTTTTTTTTCTCATCTCACATCTCATTTTCTCGATTTGTGTGTATAATAATATTGTGGAGTAGAAGAATCCACATGGTTGCACTGAAAGAAAAAAAAAATGAGTTGTTCCAAAAAAAAAAAAGTAAAGAAAATGAAATACAATGATAGTACAACAAGCACCACCTCAACTTTTTCTAGGGATAAGTTTGTCCAAAATTCATTCAGTGATGTTCTCGATGATTAAGCGAGAATTTTCTGACTGGATCGGTAAGCGGTAATATGTTCCGTTCAGATATCCAAACCAAACACACTTAATGGAACATATCTGACCGAATAAGACATTAGTCCTCATTCAGAGCCTCATTAAGTGAATGAGCCTCATTAAGTGGTAACAAACAGAGCCTCAGTTAGAATGAGAATTAAATGATCATATTGAATGTGATTGGACAATTCTAGGTTTTCTTATTTGGTTTGTCTAAATCCGTTTCGTATGCTATTGTGCAGATATACATTCTTCTTTACAAGGAAGTGTCTCTTGCTTTAAAAATTAACAGCCTATATAGTAAGAAAAAGCTTGTGAACATTCATGAAAATGTGAAAGTTTTGCGATATCCCGATCATTTATCCAGTGGCATCTACTTATGGTACGTTGTTGCATTCTTTTGAAATAAAACATGCATGCATGTTGTGAAAGATTTATGATTTAGAATGTGTTTGTGTAGGTCACACCATGAAAAGCTTGTTATTGTTGATCACAAGATTTGCTTTATTGGAGGGCTAGACTTATGCTTTGGTCGTTATGACACCGTCGAACACAAAATAGGTGATTGCCCTCCTTCTTTATGGCCTGGAAAGGACTACTATAACCCCAGGTATAACTATAAATTACCTAGGTTTTATTGCAATTAGATATATCGAAAACTAATCATATGATTCAATTTTTTTAGCACACAACCCCCTGACCAGATCAGGGGTACTAATTGCTAAAAAACAATCAGTTGGTTTTAATACAATAAAAATTATATCCGGAAATTTATGCAGAGAATCAGAACCAAATTCATGGGAAGATACAATGAAAGACGAATTAGATAGAGAGAAATATCCACGAATGCCATGGCACGATGTACATTGCGCTGTTTGGGGACCACCTTGCACTGATATTGCTAGACATTTTGTTCAACGTTGGAACCATGCAAAGGTATTTATTATTATTGCACTTTTCTTTTCTACTTGTACTTGGTAATAATAATAATAATAATAACATATATATTATAATAATCCATATGCCAGCGAAGCAAAGCACCAAACGAACAGAAAATACCGTTGCTTATGCCTCAGCATCATCACATGGTTTTACCACATTACTTGGGAAGAGGGAGAGATGTAATAGACATTGAAAAGAACATCTCCGAATCAGACAAAATCGGTCCCGGTGATTATTTTTCAACTCGGACATCAAATCCCGACAACGACAACATCCCACTGCTTTTGCCTCATGAAACAAATAACGGTCCGCACTCTTGTTCCATTACGGGAAATAGTAAAGATAGCACTCCAAATACTCAAAGTGATTCCGATTTGCAAAAACAAGACCAAAAATTCGAGAACATATCTTCAAATGATCAAGTAACACAAGCTGGTCCTCGTTGTTTTTGCCACTGCCAGGTTAGCTATTATTTTATTCAGCCTGCGTGCGTGCCGTTGTTATGTATTTTTTAACAGATTTTTTTTCTTCATATTTTCCTCAAGATATATATAACATGAGTGTTTCTTCGATAGTATTAGTTAAGCAATATTTTGTCTTCCACAAAAATATAAACTCATTCTAAGTATACAAATTAGATAGATCAGCACTGGCCGAGTGGTATCTGGGTAGTATCAGGTCAAGGGTTCTATTCCCTTTGGGGTCGGTTGTAGGCCAATTTGAAAACAATAGAAAAATACAAAAATGCCATTAGTCTCTTAACAAAGTTAATTAAATGTTGATTTATCTTCTTATTTTAAGTTACAAATTATAGATATTTTAATTTTATTGACATTTGAATTTTCGGTACACATAGTAAAAAAAACTAATAAATTATTTAAATTCATTGAATTTGTATATACATGGATTGGTGTAGGTTGTGAGAAGTGTTAGTCAGTGGTCTGCTGGAACGAGCCAAACTGAAGACAGCATTCATAGAGCTTATTGTGCTCTCATTGAGGAAGCAGAGTACTTCATTTATATCGAGGTGGCGTTTTATATACATATGCTTTGTCTTTCATTTTATATGAAATGTTTACTATCCATTCATACATTGCATTTCACTTATATAGTAGGTACTTTCTACAAATGATCATGAATCTGCATAATTTTTTTTTGCTCTTTTTTTTTTTTTAAATCTTATTATTTATCCACTGCATGTCAACTTGCAGAATCAGTTTTTCATATCGGGGCTTTCAGAAGAAGAATTCATACAAAATCGTGTGCTTGAATCTCTGTACAAGCGCATAATGCGTGCGCACACAGAGAAAAGGTGTTTCAGAGTCATAATTGTGATCCCACTCTTACCTGGGTTTCAGGTACCATTGAATTTTTCCATATTTCTTATTAATCTTCTTTTATTATTTATTACCGATTTTATTTTATTTTAAATAGGGTGGTGTGGATGATGGTGGTGCTGCTACTGTTAGAGCCATAATGCATTGGCAATACCGTACTATTTCCAGAGGAGAAAGTTCGATATTGCAAAAACTTTGTTCAAAGTTGGGTCCTTTAACACACGATTACATATCTTTCTTTGGTTTAAGAACTTATGGCAGACTTTTTGACGGCGGTCCTGTTGTTACAAGTCAGGTAGTTTTTTTGTAATTGTTTTTCTAATTAATGAACATGTTTAACCATTTCCATTTGTTTCTGGAATAGATTTATGTCCATAGTAAAGTTATGATAGTCGATGATCGTTGTGCTTTGGTTGGATCATCCAACATTAACGATCGCAGCTTGTTGGGATCAAGAGACTCAGAGGTATATATATGTTTTATAGACCATTCTTTCTTTGACATATATATATATATATATATCTTAATATCTGGTCACTATATATAGTTTGATGTTTATAATATTATCTTACCTAAGAAAAAAAGAAAAATGAAATTATGTTATTCAGATTGCAGTGTTGATACAAGATAAAGAATTCATTGATTCATCAATGGATGGGAATCCATGGAAGGCGGGAAGGTTTGCTTTTAATCTTAGAGTTTCCTTGTGGGCCGAGCACCTTGGTCTAAATGCTCAGCAGGTGAGCATTGTGGTAATAACAAATATACAAAAAAGAAAAAAAATGAAAATCAACTATTATTTACAAAACAACAAATATACAAAAATCGTAAGGGAATTATACAAATTCGATGATGGATTAACAATGGCAAAACAAATAAGTAATCAATAAATAAAAATCCAAACATAAATTAAAAAAATGCAGTCGATTAACCTTAATCGGATATTGAACATAGTAGATTAATCTTAATCAACAACTGAACATAGTCTATTAGGGATTGACTTCCTCCGTTTGCGCCGTTATGCACGCGATATACCCAAAAAACCCTAGATCTGCTCCCCATAGTCGCCACGCCGTCACCACATCACACTATCACCTTCCCCGCTTACATATTTTGACAATGGTAAGATTTAAAAATAAAGTAAACCACACCTCGCACCACCAACCCAAACAGAACCATTACCACCAAAACCACAAAAATAGAGCCACCCAAACCCAACTTTCTTCACGACCACCGCCATATCCAAAAACTCTAATATTTATGCATTTTTTGATTGCTACTAATAAATTCTGCAGGTGGCTCAAATAGAAGACCCTGTAGCTGATACAACATACAAGGGCCTCTGGTTAGATGTTGCTAAGGTAAGAAAAATGCTTACTACTATGGAGTTAGTTTATTTTATTTGTGTGGCGTTCTATTTTGCTGCATTTTTCATCTATTGACTTTTCCATTGACAGTTGAATAAAAAGATTTATGAAGATGTATTCTCTTGCATCCCCAATGACACCATTCAGTCTAGGTTCAATTGCAACCTCTATATTCTTATCAGTATATATTTATTGCCTTTATGTTATATATATATATAGAGAGAGAGATATAACATGACGATGAATTTCAGATGGGCACTAAGACAAAGCATGAGCCATTGGAGAATGAAACTCGGGCACACAACTATTGACTTGGGAGTGGCTCCTGAAAATCTGGAACTGTACGAGAATGATGAACTCATAATTACGGACCCGATGGAGAAGCTAAAATCAGTAAGAGGACATCTTGTTTCTTTTCCATTAGATTTCATGAGTCAAGAAGATGATCTAAGACCTATGTTCATTGAGGGTGAGTTTTATGCATCTCCTCAGGTGTTCCACTGATTATACAATATACAAATAGGAAGTTTGTTGTATCGTAAAGTCAGGAAAGGTGAATAGTAAGCCGACCATATGTTGTCCATAAAAAGACATTGTTCATCGTTATATACTCTTTAGTGATCTCGTTTTTGTTGGGAATCGGGCACGTGTACTCAGCGGAAAATAAAAATTTTATATGAAAAATGATTTTGATCATATAAACACGCACTCGATAATAACAATTAATTGCATACCTTGATGGTTCCAGCGAAAATTAAGATACAACATGCATATTATTAATTCGATAATTAAAACAATTAGCATGCTAGCAGTAATCAACAATCACATATATTAATTCATGAAAAATCATACTGCGAATATCAACGTTTAATTTAATATAATTAAATTAAAACCTAATTAAAAAGGGATCCGAAAATTACCTCTCGAAGCATGGGAGAACTTTCGGATTGACGCAAACTGCCACGAAATCCAATCCGTGCAGTCGGGAGAAGCAGCGGCAGACGCGCGGATCAGCGGCGGCGCGTGAGATTCATGCGCTGTCTTCGGGCGACGCATGCGGTGGCGGTGGCAAATCGCCTGTTTGTCTTCCTCCTCTCGGATTTCACCTCGTATACTGAATTCAATTGATACGTGGCACTAGACACGCAAAAGTCAAAAATTAAATGGAAATTACTACCAAAGATCTATCGGCGCGTGTGCGCCGATTCTTGCGACGGGGCGACGGTGACAGCGGCGCGGCGGAGAAGGGGCAGGGTTTCTTGTGTGTTGTGTTTTGTGCAAAACCTACAAATCTTGTAATCGTGTACTTGTACTTCATCAAGTACACGTACCAATACCTAGATTAATCGTCGGTAAAGGTAGCGAAGTAGTTGTAACCACCCTTCGCACTAACACTTAGTGGACCACATATGGATCAAATTCAAAAGACCTTCGGCCCGCTCTATTTTCCCTTTGTAGGGTGAGGGTTGTGAGATTGGGCGGCGACGGCGGAGGTGGAGAGTGGCCGAGGGTTGTGAGATTGAGCGGCTAGGGTTTTGATTGTGTCTTTGTGTTTTGTGCAAGACCTATAAATCTTGTATTTATAGTGTCTTGTATAAAAGCCCTAACGGGCTTAAGTTGGATCGGGCCCAACAGTTTAAGTTCGTTAGTCTTTATTCGCTCGTTTCTCACAACTCAATGATCGAAAAATTATAACGATTACATTTTCAGAATCATTGAAACGTCCTCGTCGTCACGAGTTCCAACTCTCGATTTCCAATTTCTAAAAGTGGAAACCCTAATTCAGTGGACCTTCTAAATTTGGAAACTTCCAAATTTAGAAAGTTCACTAAGATGTTCGCCTATTCTTTTCCTTTTCTTATTCTCATTCATAATTCCAAATTACTAATGTTGGACTCAATCACATTGACTTCCAATATAACTGAAATCATACTAATCATAATCCTAATGTTAATCCTATTATTAATACTCATCTTAATCCTAATATGAATTCTAATACTACTCTTGATCCTCATCATGATCTAAGTACTATTCATAATCCTAATCGTAATACTAATAGTAATGCTAAGATATTGATGGTAATTTAATGTTCTTCCTTATATGTTAATGTTTAATATAAGTTTATAACAATAATATGCTAATGCTAGTACTAATATATCCTAATGACATTGCTAATGCAAATTCTAATATGCTAATGCGTATACTAATATGCTAGTGCTAATAGTAATGATAACGCTAATACTAATGCTCATCATAAAAGACCAATGCCAATGCTAATCATAATCCTAATCACGATCATAATCCTAATCTGAATTCTAATCATAATCATAATTGTAATCCTGATCCTAATCATGATATTGATCCTTATCTTAATCATTATCTCGATCTTAATCTTGATCGTAATCTTAATGCTGATCTCAGTAATACTAATACTACTACTAATATGCTAATTCTAATTTAATGCTAATCCTCATATACTAATGTCAATTCTAATACTAATACGGTATGCTAATACTAATCTTAATATACTAATGCTATACTAATATGCTAATGGTAATACTAATCGACTAATGTTACTGCTAATGAAGGGTCGTAAAGAATAACTAATTGATTAAGTTCGGTTAACAATGATTAAGATTGGATTATTATCTAGAGAAACAATATTATTTTTAATATAATTATTGTTTCATTGTTATCCCATATAATTAAGCCAATATATATTATTTTAATTTAGGCATACATATGACCCACTAATAGGGGTGAAAAGTAGAAAATATAAAAACTCCCTAATAGGGGGGAAGTGAGATAATAAACTACCAAACTAAGGAAAAACAAAATTACTGAAATAAAAAATGGTCGAGCTAGCAGCTAGTCAAACTGGTGAAATAACAAATTGACCCCAAGTCACGGTCTCTGGTTTGATTACGCCAAATATGAAGAATTAACGTGTATGAAAACAGAACACTTTGATCGCATAAAACAAATAATATTTGAAATATAGTTGTAAATCTCACGATAATATTTGGTAGTTTTTTTTAATACAATTAAAATTTTATTAAATTGCAAAATGAAATCCTAAGCATAATTTTAAATAAAAACCTCCTAATGGGTTGAAAAAGCAAAACTATAAAAACTCCATGATGGGGTGAAAGTGAGATAATAAACTACCTAACTAATGAAAAACAAATTTACGTGAATTATAAAATGGCCTAGCTAGAGATGCTAGTCACATTGCTCAAATGACAAATTGACCCCAAGTTAGGGTGAAAGTGCGATTATGGACAATATGAAGAATTAGCGTGTATGCAAACAAAACACTTTGATCGCTTAAAAAAAATTGCAATATAGTTCTAAATATGACTATAATTATTTGGTATTTTCGTTTTTAATAAAATTAAAATTTTATTAACTTGCAAAAAGAAATACTAAGCAAACTATTACATCAAAATAAAAACTCCCTAAGAGGTCAAAAATGGAAACTATAAAAACCCCCTAACAGGGGTAAAGTGAGATAATAAACTACCTAACTAAGGAAAAACAAAATGGCCCCAGTTAGAGCTGCTAGTCAAACTGGTGTAATTACAAATTGACCCCAAGTTAGGGTGAAAGTGTGGTTACGCTAAATATAAACAATTAGCGTGTATGAAAACAAAACACTTTGATCGCATAAAAGAAATAATATTTGATATATAGTTCAAAATCAAAAGATAATAATTAGTTTCAAAAACCAAATTCAAAGGTCGAAGCAAAATGTTGCAAATCCACAGATTAAAAATCAGAATTAATTTTTTTAACAATCCGTCCATACCATATATGTGGATCATATCCTTGTATTGTATACAACAACGCAGCTTCTTTCGTGCCGATGTCGCCGTATTGACACATACGTTGCTATCAATGAATCTATAAAAGTACAGAGCAAACAAACATAAATAATTTTGATGTAATTTTGTTTTCCCATAAATTGTAATACGAAAACAATGTAAAAAAAAAAAAAAATCTAAAATATACACATTATTCGCCAGAAACGAAGAAGGCGATTCCATGCAATTGTCGATATCAGAACTATTCATGTCTCCTTGTAATACCACTTCTGACATTCCTCCATAAACTTCGGCACATAAATCTTTCCGCTAACAACATGATTCGAACATTTGGTAAAAAATTAAAACCCAAAATATTGACAGAATCATCAAATGTAAAGAAAATTTGTAAAGTTTGAACAAAAAACCATAGAAAATCAAAATATTTTTTAGGATATAAACAATAATATATAAAAATTGAGAAAATAAATAAATAAATGAGAAAACAACATTAGAGTATAAGGAAAATAAATAAATAAATAAATAAATGCGAAAATATTGATCAACTATAAGGAATATATTATTAATAAAATCGTGTGATATTTACAAAATTTCCATATTAAAATAATGTGATTATTTGATTACCATAAACTCGTTACTACAATCCGTTTTTTTCATATTGAATTCAATGAAAAAAAATAATAAAGAAATCATTTTTTTTTTGAAATAAGTTAAATAATAAATAAGACAAAATGTAAAAAAACTAGGTAAGGAAAGAAGTCTACAAATAAAAGAGTTAAAAAGATTTGGGATAGAAATTGAAGATATCAAAACTTCAATTGTGTATTCTCCCTTTATATAGATTATATTATATTATATTATATTATATAGATAGATGATATGCATGAGTTTTGAGAAATTAATTATGTTTTAATTAAACAATATTCACGCCTTGTATAAACAGAATAATAAGAAAGGAAAAATAAATTGAAAATTAAATAACAACAAATAAACATAAATAAAAAAATATAAATAATAACGAAAAAAACGAAACAACAGTGAAAAAAATCAATAATAAAATATACGTGATTTATATATGATCCAATGATATGTATGGGGAACAAATATTTCAAAATAATGATTTTGAAAAACATAAAATTGAAATGTTAAATTAAGTTTAAAACTAAAAAGAAAATCAAATACAAAAGAATGGTGAATCGAGTTTTCTTTCCAAAATAATGAAAATAAACAAATAAATATGATCCAAAATTATGGAAATAAAATCATAAAAAAACATAAAATCAGAAATTTAAAAAAATAAAAAATGCAGATTTGGTGGAAGTATAATCTTTATAATATAAAAAAAACGTGTATTTATATATAAAAAAATGAACTTTAAAATCTAAAGTTTGAAAATTCAAAAGTACAAATTATAAAATATTAGGAAAAATATCCGATTTTTAACATAAACTACTTATATTTATATTTTGTAAATGTAAAAGATTAGAAAAAACAATATTGTAATAAATTATATCAAAATAAATAATTATATTGTTATCATATTAGTTTCCATGTAAATCACATTTGTAAATAATTTTATTTTATACAAAATGTTTTGAAATGAGGTAAACAAATAAGGGATTTTTGTGCATAAGTCTCTAACCAAACATCTTTATTATTCTCGGTTTAGTGGCTATATCTCTTTCATCAATAAACCCATCATTTTAATATTTATTATAAATAAAGGAAAAATTCATGTATATGACAAAATTAGCCCCAACCCTTTACACCTAATTTTTAATTGTAATCCCAATTTAATCAATTTTAACCACAAAAATCCAATTTTGACTCTTTTTTTCCAAAACATTTTTTTTTTCAAAAAATATTTTTTTA